TCGTCTTTCTTTACACCCAACTTAAGATGACAGAATGAAGTGGAGAGAAAAGTATATTCGCCTTTGTTACCTACCCTCTAGATGACGAAAACAAAAATCATGCTCTTATCACCTCAATTGTAATTAAGTGCTGCTCATTATTGTGTCTCTTTGAAGACAATTAGAAGAGGACGATTGTGAAAGAACAAAAAAAGTATAAGGGGGGAGGTACATAACGCAGACCTTACGATTCTTATTGAGACTTTTTTAACTTTAAGTACTGTTATGAGATGAAATAACCATGCAAACAGGTAGCTAAAAGGAACCAAAGAGTTGTCAATTAAGAAATAGGAGCTAGGGTACCGCTTCTCCACTATTCTCATCTCTCTAGCCAGACATAATTTCTTATCCTGCTCCGGCAATTCACTCATGAAATTAACATTCTCGCATACATATCTCTTGTGCCCATAAGTGATCGTATATATAGAACACAAGTAAATATATAATAGCTATTGAAATGGGTGGTGAGAAAGATATATAAGGAGCTTGAGTAACATACCTAGAACCAGAAATTAATTCTGAAGCCAATTAGAACATGTGGGAGAGAGGTGCAAAAGGAGATATTGACGCGGCTCAATGAAAATAAATGGCTAATACAACCATCTAACCACGTCTTTACGTTGAGGCGCGCCAATACCTTCATCTTCGTTTACAACTCTCCCCAATCGCTCCGATACCACCTCCAGTTCCTCCTTTCACATAAGCCTCTCTTCATCTTTACGCAGAGACCTAGAAGATACATACAGAAAGAAAGAAGGAAAGAGGATATTCCTTCTCTATGTACGAATAATTAAGAGGTGGACGTCACAGAAATTGAGAGATGAGCGGTTTCTTTTTGATGATGATTCGCCTTTTTCTTGCAGGTATCTGCTGGCTGCCTAAATATATAAAAATATGAACTAGGCGTTTTGTTCTGTCCACATCATTTGCTGCATAAGGGGAAGCAAAATAGATTGATTTATAGAACCACTTGAGAAACTGTTTTTGTGTTTATGAACGTAAGCAAATTTGACAATCAATCCATTATCTAATGTGTATACCACCACCGCTCCACGTAAGCACCAACTAATAGTATTGCTCCACGTAATAAGCAGGTATGATGCACCTTGATTGACTTGACTATCATTTTATCTACCCAAGTCCTAACTATGTCAATGCGTTCCATGAGTCTACCTACTCGAGTGAGACGAATTTGCCTAAATAATATTGATCTATCGATTATTCGAAGTTGCACAAGATATCTCTGTCACCAAAAAAATTGTATGTATATTGATGTGCCGACTACAGTAATATAGTCTCGTTTGAACTTCGTTGATTTGAACGTGTAAGACTCTTAATAAACCTCAATATAGATTTGTGGTAATCATTCACTTTCACTTTGGTTAGATCATGCTTTTGTTAATGTGATTTAAGAAGTTGGACTAGTTACGATAATATATATATATATGATTTAAAATCAATAATTGACGAATAATGACAGGGTTTGGTAATCATGTTCTCCAATATGGATCCTAAGTTTAAAAAGCAGCCACTTGGGTGATCCGGAATCACCAAACTGCACAACAAGCATTGACAAACAAGAAAGATATTGTTGTATATTGACAACAAAGAAGCAGCTTTTTGTGGGACTTGGCTCCCACAGACCACAGGGCTCAATTATAAGTCCTAAAGCTATTTGAAATTATTGAAGAAAATTTTAGAGTTAGGTTAAGTAGGTGCAACCCCAAACTTTTCACACACAAAATTGTGTTTCTCCAATATGATGAATTACTGAAACCAAATCCCAGATGAGGGTAACGATTATCTATCAATTACCGTGCATGTCTTAACTAGGATAAAGCACCGAATGATTTCTTGGCAGCTAGCCCATGGTCAATTACATAGAGTCAAAATCAAATGTTACCACGTAGTGTTTGGTTCAGGGAATTCTTTATTACTGAAAATATAGAATTATCACTGAGATAGATTATCTTGAAAATTAATGAAAGAATATTATATTAAATTGTTTGGTTAGATTAGTGAGTATAAATAATTAATAGGTTTGATTGGAAGGAATAAAATATTATCGGAGAGGTTTTTATTGAATTGCCCTTCTTTTTTAATAGTATTATTATTATTTAGAGCATTACTTGTAACCCCCCACCCCCCACATTTGAGAATTTAGCTAAAACACTCAAATAACAAAAGTTTAAAAATTTAACTAAATAAACATAGCTACCCAAGACGACTACCGGCCGCTAGCCACTACCGTGGGCCACTGCCAACAGTCACAAGAACGGTGCACGACCGATAAGATTTGGTGGTTTGTGTGCCAATCTAGCCGTTTCAGTTAGATCGAAGGCAAAAAAGGGCCAAATGAATGTGGATCTAGCTGGAAATGGCCAGATCTATTCTAGCCATTAACAGTTAGATCTGTGGCCATTAACGGTCATGGATCTGGCCAAGAACGGCCAGATCTATTTTGGCCATTAACAACCATATTTATGGCCATTAATAGCCATAGATTTGTCAATTTGGCCGAAAATGGCCAAATCGGTGCACGGCCTACCAGATTTGACCGGTCGTGTGCTGTTCTGACAACTGCTGGTGGTGGCCAATGGTCGTCAGTCGTCTTAGGTAGTTGGGGGTATTTTGGGTATTATTCATGAAAATATTAAGGATATTTCTATCCAAAAAAATAATATATGAGGTTACAGAGGTCATTTTGCACATTTGGGATAATTGTTATTTAGTAGACATATCAGGGCATTTGTGTCAAAATGTTTATTAATTAAAGATAAAATTGGTATGAACAGTAGATTACCCAGGTAATGAAAAAATAACACCCTTTTAAACAATAATCGAATTACCCCCTATATATATTACTTATAGTAATCATTATTGGTATTGGTCGATTATCAAAACCTTTTATTACTTGACACCCAAACATGGTAATTGTCAGATTAAAAGATAAATTATCGGTACTATCTTTTATGACCCCAAACCAAATGCTTACTTATTGTACACTTTTTGCAATACACTTGTTATCCATATCATCCTTAGTCGATAGTTAGAGGATTTTCTAGTATAAACATTATTCAGGTAAGGTAGTTAATTTAAAAGTTAGATTTTTTATTTATAAGTTTTTGGAATGCTTTAACTAAATATACTTATTCAGAATTAGAATATGCAAGAGATCTATAAGTTTAGCTCAAAAATACATTGGATTATATATAGCCCCAATTCAGGTTCTCCTAGCTAGCAGATCTATTTAAACTTTTGCTGCCTTCTATGTACAAATTACAATGAGAGTAAACTTCAGATTAAAGTCAGCCCACTAATGGACAACCCGTTTCGATTATTGGTTTCCTTTTAATAAATAAATAATCTCGAAGACAAAAGCCAGCCTTTGTCCTAAAAATTGTTAGCCATGATAATTAATTTTCTTTTAATAAATTGGATTGACACTACCTTCTTAAAGAAATTTTATGCTTTTTATTTTTTAGATAACCGGACTGTTTGGGCCAATTTTTGGGGCACCTTGACTAATCTTAAAGACCCATTGAATACCTTACAAATTCAATCCATTAATATTTGGTCTTGGCCAACTTGCGGGGCATCTCGACTAATCTTTAAGACCCATTGAATACCCTACAAACCCAATCTACTAATATTTGGGACTCATTAAATGCCCTACAAATCTAATACTCCAAGGTAATCACATATATGGTAGGTGACCTTAAGGTTAAAACCTAAGAAATTAATGAAAAAAACAAATTTTTTTGACTGTCAAGCAAACCCTTTGGAGATAACATGCTTTTTTTTTTTTTTCCTCAAGAAAAGGACAACATACATCATAAGAAGCAAATTAAATTAGTACATCGTTGGTTAGATTTGTTATAGTTATTTTCAACAGGTAAAAGCCGGGTGCTTAGTCGTTTAGGCATTTACTATAAATTTCACCCTTTCACTGTAAGCATGTTTAGATTAGGGATGTGGGTCTGGGTGGAAGGAATAGAAAATTTTATTTAATTTATCGGAGATTCAGGAGATCTTTGTAAAGCTTTTAACAGTATATCAAGACGTGTCATTGTGTTTTTGCGTGAGGATCATTGTGTTTGATATTTAATTAGGAGTGGATAGAAATTAAAATAGCCTTCATAAACCTGAATATAAGGGAAGTTGAATAGCATTTAGAGTGGAGAATCTTATGTAATTAACCTTACAGAACAAAGAATTATAGAGATAGGCTTAAAGTTTGCTGCCTTGTGTGTACACAATATAGTTAATATAAGGGCTTGCAACAAATAAAAGTCAGCACCATTGTAAAAATAATGAAAACACACTTCCCAGTACAAAACTTATCTCTGAAATGGTGCAACGCTCAAATATCGTATGAATTATATTTTTGTACCTCAAATTATTGATGCGAATTTCACCACATATTTTCTTTTGGCAAATATGAGAAAATGACAATTGGCCAGCTGGTTCAGTATGACTAGGCACCGTATATTATGTCTCTATCGGTATTTGATGAGCTGAATCATTTGTAATGTTGTTGTGTTCCTATTGAGTCAATTACCAGGATCTATGAGACAATATGGGAAAAACAGCAATAATATGTATATATTCAGCAGAATGATCAAATTATAATTAATTGCAATCCAGCTGTACAAGACTAAATCCTTTAGTTCGGATGGTCAAGTCTCTTAGCCTTAGGCATGACAATTTCTTGGCTTAATCCAAGCGGCCGGCTCTTCCTTTTATCTGAATTCGCCATATACACATAGCATGTACTATGTTCAAAAGCAAATCCCTTAGTGGACGCGCTTCGGCATGCAGGCGACAGCGAAAACGATAAAGTATTAATGGCATGCTCTTAAATTCGTGAAGCTTAATTGCATGCCAACCACTATATATACAAGGAACTTCATAGAGCTTTGCTTCATAGCTCAGAAATCCTTTCTCCTTTTATTCTTCTTTTCACCTGGTCCTTGTTTTTCTCCATTAGTGTGTTACTATAAAATGGCAAAAACATTTCTCTTGTTGAGCTTGGTGGCTCTCACTTGCACCTATCTTGCTTTTGCATTTGAGCCTAAACCCTTGCAGGATTTCTGCGTTGCAGACCGTAATAGTTCAGGTATTACTATATATGAGTTAAATCTATACTTTACTCTGCCATAATAATTAATACGTAAAGCTAGCTCTTTTATCTTCGGTACAGCTTAGGCCCCACTTCTATCTTATAGATTTTAGCAGCTTATTTTGAGTTATGCTTAATTATTTTTGGTCATTGCATCAGTCAAACAGGGTATTAATTACTTGGTTCTCACTTTTAATATGCATATGTTGTTTGACAGCAAGAGTAAATGGTTTAGCCTGCAAAAACCCCAGCACGGTTGTAGCAAATGATTTCTTCTTTAGTGGGCTTCACATTGCAGGCAACACTTCAAACCCTGTTGGGTCGAGGGTCACCCCTGTCAGTGTGGCACAGATTCCAGGTCTCAACACTCTTGGGATCTCACTGGTGCGCGTCGACGTTTCACCTTGGGGTATCAACCCTCCCCATACTCACCCCCGAGCCAGCGAGATCCTGACAGTTCTTGAAGGTTCTCTTGAAGTTGGATTTGTCACCTCAAACCCTGAGAATCGCCTCATCACTAAGGTCCTTGAAAAAGGAGATGTGTTTGTATTTCCAATTGGACTCATTCACTTCCAACGCAATGTGGGAAATAAAAATGCAGTAGCTATTGCTGCATTAAGCAGCCAAAATCCAGGAGTCATCACCATTGCTAATGCTGTTTTCGGATCAAATGCACCTATTGGTAGCGATGTTCTCACCAAGGCTTTCCAGGTGGACAAGAAGATAGTAGATCAAATTCAGTCACAGTTCTAGCGGCGATAAATCAATGCAGTTGACAGATTAAATACTTGTGATATATTGTTTTTGTGTGTGACAATCTGACATTCTTTATTTGCCTTTTGTTCTTCTTTATGTAAGTTGGTTGATGAATTCTTACCAGTGTTGATTGTTCTTGGTTCATGAATTAATGAAAATTTTCTTTCTTAGCTTCATTATATCTTGCATAATTTTAGTTCTTTTTAAAGTTTTTGTACAACATTATATCTTATTGTGAGAGATAAGTTTAATTACGTCTCCCTTAATAACATATCCCTTTAATTTTTATAAATTGCTTTTTTATCGTCGAGACTGAGAAAAGAAAAAATGTAAAATGAATCCAGTATCCTTCTCTTGAATCTTTCCAGATTATTCCTTCTATAATGTAATTGCCAATAAAGGATTTAAGACGATGCATGATTCAGTTAATTTTTAATTTGATTGTATGAACAGGCCAATATCTTAAGATAATCAGGCAACTCAATTAACTACGAGGTTTCATGTCATCATGTGATAGCAGGTAGAATACAAAATGATGATAAAGGATGCCAGTTCATGCATGGTCAATTAATTAGCTGCCCAAGATAACAAGGAAGATAACAGTAGATTGATTCGATTGAGAATGACCAATATTTTGTTTTAGTCGTAAAGATAACACTTCGATCTGTTAATATTTCAGGATCAAAACAGATAATATATATATATATGAAAGGCCATGAAAAGACAAATTAATTAAGATGTGATTAATGTAACAGTACTACTAAAATTTAAGCAACATGAGAGAACTAGTGATGTACTTAAAAGCTGTATGAATCCTAAATCAACCCGATTTTGGTTTTCCTTATATCACCTCCTTGAATAACTATGAATCTATGCTAAATATCTGTGATTAAAGTGATCTTTACAGATTACAATATTGTTGAGCTCAACTCTGTTGATTTGGGGGAAACTCCTTTTATATTAACCTGGTTTCTACAGCAGTATCAGAAACAGATGAATATTCCAAGGACGTAAAGTTTTGCATGACTGGTAATAGTAAGTAATTTGATTCGAAATAAAATGAACATGAAATCATATGAAGACAAAAATAATCATGAAGCTTCTGTTGCTGACATAAGAATATCCCGTTAAGGGCGGCCGCACCCTGGTGGGGCCGCTCCTTCACTAGTTCTTGCTGCTTATCTTTGGAACAAGTATGATAATTTCTTCGCCAGTATTTACATGCAACTATATGCAATCATTCATTTCTTAAACCCAGCCGGCTATGCACCAACTCATAGAATATTGAATATATATATGTTGAAAGATGACCAATTCAGAAAACAGTACCCTTCAATATGATTGGACGGCAACTCTCAAACAGGATTTTAAAAAAAATAAAATAGCTTCATGCACCAAAGTCAGAAACTCCTCATGCGGTACCTCCATAAATATTGACCACCAACGAACGCTAGTTTGTTCATCATCTCTCAAATTCCTTTATATTGCCTTTTTTGGCCATTGTTCTTAGAGAGATTAGTAGTTTCAAAATGGCGAAAAATGTTGTCATCTTCAGCGAGATATTGGTTCTTGCTTGCTATCACATCGCTTTTGAACTTGAGCCAAAACCCCTGCAGGATTTCTGCGTTGCAGATCGTAACACTTGGGGAGCATTTGGTTTGAGGGTATTTGATATTACTGGGGTTAAGTGGCCTTATATTACTCAACAAGATTAGCATGTTTGGTTGTCAAGTAATATAAGACATCGGTAATCTTCAAATACCAATAGTGGTTAGGGTATTTGATATTACTGGAGTTAAGTGGTCTTATATTACTCGACAAGATTACCATGTTTGGTTGTCAAGTAATATAAAATATCGGTAATCTTCAAATACCAATAGTGGTTATTATTGGTAATATTTGAGGTAATCTGATTACCTCTATTTTCTTAAGTATTCTAATATTATCAGGGTTATCTTTTTTTGTTACAATTCTATCCCTTATTAATAAAATTTTAGGACAATAATGCCCTTATTTTTAAATTTATTTACATGAATATAACTTTTACTATTTCAACCCCAATTAATTAATTTTTTGGACAAAATTACCCTTGAATTCAAAACAAATTACAGCCCACCCAAGCCACCATCCCCAACCACCTAATGCCGTTAACCACAGCCACGGCTAGCTGCCGCCATCGTCAGAACGACGCACGAAAGGTCGAAAATGGTCGTCGTGCGCCTCTATGGCCATTTCCGGCCAGATATCTGACTGGAAATGGCCAGATCCGTCGATTTGGACGCTAAAGGCCAGACCGATGGCTGTTAACAACCACGTCTGTGTCCGTCAATGGCCATCGATCTAGCCGTTGACTGCCAGATCGACGGATCTGGCCATTTCCGGCTAAATATCTGGCTGGAAATTGCCATAGCAGCGCACAGCGGCCATTTTCGGCCTTCCATGAGCCGTTAGGTTGCCAGCTACTAGTAGCCAACAGTGGTTGGGTTGGTGGGGGGTGTTTTGTTGATTTTTTAAACTTTTATTATGGGGTTGTTTTTGCTAAGTTTTTAAATGTAGGGGGGTTATAGTAATCCAAATAATAATAATATTAAAAAATAATATAATAATAATATTTAATTGGAGGACAATTCAGTAATTTAAATAACATACCCACCAATTTATTCTTCTCAACCAAACATATTAATATAACATACCCACTAATTAACTAAACATATTTTCCTAAAGATTTCTAGTAATCTTCAAGGTAATCTATCTTTCCAGTAATCCAACATTCCCAGTAATTCAACATTCCCAGTAATCCAACATTCCATGAACCAAACGCCCTCTTCAGGTATTTCATTATATTCCATCTATCTTACTATCTTAGTGTAAAATTTATGCTCTTATAGCATCTCATAACACACGTGCTAATAGCCTGCAAACTGACTTTAAGCTTTCCTGTTTGTTTGCGTGTTTCTTGGCAGCAAGAATAAATGGCTTAGCATGTAAGAATTATGCACTTGTTCAAGCCAGTGATTTCTCCTTTAGCGGGCTACACATTCCTGGCAACACTTCAAACCAAGTTGGGTCCAGAGTCACCCCTGTCTCTGTGGCTCAGCTTCCAGGACTCAACACTCTTGGGATCTCAATGGTGCTGATTGACTTTGCACCATGGGGTATCAACCTTCCCCACACACACCCCAGAGCCACTGAGATCCTGACAGTCCTTGAAGGCTCTCTTGAGGTTGGATTTGTCACATCAAACCCTAAGAATCGCCTCATCACAAAAGTCCTTAAAAAGCGAGATGTGTTTGTATTTCCAATCGGACTTGTACACTTCCAGCGAAATGTGGGAGCCATTGCTGGTTTGCGCAGCCAAAACCCAGGTGTTATCACCATTGCTAATGCTGTTTTTGGATCAAATCCTGCCATTGCTGGTGAGGTTCTCAGCAAGGCATTCCAATTGATCAAGAACATAGTTGATCAACTCCAAACCAAGTTTTAGAGCCTCAAGAAACCGACAGGGCAAAGTTGGAAGATAAATTTCAAAGAATGTTTGTATGATACAAATTATTGGTTTACTTTTGTTTTTAATTGTACGTTTGGCTTGAATGTATGTTCAGCAATTTCAATTTGTTGATTATTGAGTGAACTTCTAATTCCTGTAAAAAATCTTATTATAGTCAGAATTATCTGTTTCACTTTAATTATTAAAATTTTGTTTTAATTAAAAGAACTATGTATCATTTAATCAAGAGAATCTCAAAATTTTCGTTTTAAAACAAAATATTTGAATTTCTTAGGTAAAAATTTATTTTAACGTGAAAAAAAGTAATTAATTAATGAATTATACAAGGGCCATACAAAAAAATGCCAACCTACCATAGGACAAACCCTAGGTTAGGTTCAAAAGAATCAAGTTGTCACAAGAACTACTAAATAATAGAGAAAAACAAGTCCTCTAAACCCTAATGACTGTTAGGAGATTGTGCAGCGAAAAAAATACATACGAAATTAATAACATGGGAATAAAATCACACCGTATAAAAAGATACGATATTTTCATGGTTCGCCATAATTAACCCGTCTATATGCACGAATAACAGAAATCCACTATAGTTTAATATGGGGAATTGTTTAAATGCCAGTCCAATAATGTTATGGGATTAGATGATTAGTATCGACTTATGGTAGTATAAAATCAAAATAAATCCCATGCTTACTATTGGTATATGATAAAATTTGGATGGATTAAAATCACAAATATTTTTTTTTTTTTTTTTTTTAATGATCAGGGGTGTCTGAGCCAGCTTACCCACATCTCAACTAATCTCCCAAGTTGGAACTACCAAATGAGTAAGAGCTCTAATGGTTACCACTATTAGCACCTGAGAAGGGACTTGAAATCAAGACCTTTTGAGTAATATACTCAAGAGGCTTCTATCGAACCGCTCAACCATTCAAAGGTAGTTAACACAAATATCAATGCGCATAATTTAAATGGATATGTACCAAGTGCCGAGTGATGAAACAAGATGCAATCAAAATTTTCAAAATAATGCATCCAAAGGAATAGAAATATTCCTAACTCATCTAAACCCCTACCAGGAATACCATGAGTTATTACAAAAGAAATCAGCAAGAACTGCATTTTCTACTTTTCCAAATTATAAATAAATGAGCTAATAATTTTGTAGACATCTTGTTCTCAATTATCACCAGGAAAGTAACTTACAAGCTAAATACCCGAGGAAATTTAACTGGCCAGACCTTCCAAGTTTGCATTTAAGAAAATGACCTTGAAATTTTTTTGCATTTTTTTTAACCTTGAAAAATTGGCGTGGCACACTTAAGAATAACTAAACGTGCAAAAATGGGCTAGAGTGAAATGATTGAAACATATACAGGTAATAGTAAATTAATGGAAATTTATTTAAATTTTGAAAATTAAAAAACGACCCCCTTCAAAATCGATTAATTGAAGGAGGCCACCCAAAAAAAGCGACCGACGAAAACACCCCATCTCTCTTGCGATTTTCGGCCATTAAAGTTCCCAATTTCCAGCAAATCTTTGCTCTTTAATCTTCATTTCCTTGTTAGTTACACAAAAAATCATGGCTAACATTAACAAATCAGAGGAAAACCTAACCACACTACAAATTCTAGAGTCTAACGGCGGCGGCTGTTCAAAGGTTGTCGAAGAAAACGCTTCGATGGATCTTCCGATGAGTGAAGGTGGTCCAGCAGCATAAGACACGACAACGGCATAAGAACAGACAGCAAAATCTATAAATGGTTTTGAAGAAGAGGACATCAACGCAAATTTAGGCGAGGAGGAGGAACAAGATGAAGAAAAGGTACATTTCTTACCATTTGATGAAAAAATTATTTGTTGATGCGAATTTGGGGGATATTTAGTTGGTTTTGATTGTTAGGGTGGTTGTGGCGTTTTGTCGAGCAGTTGGCAGGCATCGAGGGAGTTCTGTTGTTTGGGTTCCAAAGGATAGGGGAAGGCAAGGGAGGTCGTAGGGAGGTTGTTTATGGGAGGTTTGCAACTATTCGTGACCAGCCCTACAATATGTAGGGCAGCCCCCAGCCCCCCTTATTTCGCCCCCTCCTGCCATCCCCAGCCATCTCTAGCCATCAAACCTGCATCAACAGCCTCTGTAGAGCCCGTATTGGCTTCCTCGGTCCTCTCGAAGCCAAAAACACCCATTCCCCGATGCCCTTGAAGCCCATATCCCCCAGATTGGCAGCCTATTGGTTGTTTTGGTTTCTATTTTTGTTGATATTTAGTCTATATTGATTGTGCAGTGTTTCCGAAGCATAAATTATAAAGACTATAGGTTGAAGGTTATAATTGATAGGATACCATACTTCCCCGTAAGGGTGACGATTAAGTCAAGCTGGCAAGTGTTTACGAGAATAAAGGAGATTTTAGGTGAACAAAAAAGGGGTATGAACCGATTCAAAGATAGTTGTTTTGGTCATTTTATGGACATAAGAGATAATTAGAATAAGGCATTCTGGGGGCAGGCAACACATTATACGTTGCTGCACTCAATTAAAAGCAAAAAAAGAAATGAAATGTGGTTCGTGGTGGATGGGAAGCCATTACGTTTTGGGATGATGGAATTTGCCTTGATGACTAGCCTAAAATGTGGGGCATTTCCAGAAGCGGAAGTGGAAGAGAGAACAAAGAAGAGTAGGGCAGCCGAAAGAACATATTTTCCTAAAGATTCCCAATAATCTTCAAGGTAATCTATCTTTCCAGTAATCCAACATTCTATGAATCAAACGCCCCCTCCGGGTATTTCATTATATTCCATCTATCTTACTATCTTAGTGTAACATTTATGCTCTTATAGCATCTCATAACACACGTGCTAATAGCTTGCAAACTGACTTTAAACTTTCCTGTTTGTTTGCGTGTTTCTTGGCAGCAAGAATAAATGGCTTAGCATGTAAGAATTCTGCACTTGTTCAAGCCAGTGATTTCTCCTTTAGCGGGCTACACATTCCTGGCAACACTTCAAACCAAGTTGGGTCCAGAGTCACCCCTGTCTCTATGGCTCAGCTTCCAGGGCTCAACACTCTTAGGATCTCAATGCTGCAGATTGACTTTGCACCATGGGGTATCAACCTTCCCCACACACACCCCAGAGCCACTGAGATCCTGACAGTCCTTAAAGGCTCTCTTGAGGTTGGATTTGTCACATCAAACCCTCAGAATCGCCTCATCACACAAGTCCTTAAAAAGCGAGATGTGTTTGTATTTCCAATCGGACTTGTACACTTCCAACGAAATGTGGGAGCCATTGCTGGTTTACGCAACCAAAACCCAGGTGTTATCACCATTGCTAATGCTGTTTTTGGATCAAATCCTACCATTGCTGGTGAGGTTCTCAGCAAGGCATTCCAATTGATCAAGAACATAGTTGATCAACTCCAAACCAAGTTTTAGAGCCTCAAGAAACCAACAGGGCAAAGTTGGAAGATAAATTTCAAAGAATATTTGTATGATACAAATTATTGGTTTACTTGTGTTTTTAATTGTAAGTTTGGCTTGAATGTATGTTCAGCAATTTCAATTTGTTGATTATTGAGTGAACTTCTAATTCCTGTAAAAAATCTTATTATAGTCAGAATTATCCGTTTCACTTTGATTATTAAAATTTTGTTTTATTTAAAAGAACTATGTATCATTTAATCAAGAGAATCTCAAAATTTTCGTTTTAAAACAAAATGTTTGAATTTCTTAGGTAAAAAATTATTTTAACGTGAAAAAAAGTAATTAATTAATGAATTATACAAGGGCCATACAAAAAAAAGCCAACCTACCATAGGACAAACGCTAGGTTAGGTTCAAAAGAATCAAGTTGTCACAAGAACTACTAAATAATAGAGAAAAACAAGTCCTCTAAACCCTAATGACTGTTAGGAGATTGTGCAGCGAAAAAAATACATACGAAATTAATAACATGGGAATAAAATCACACCGTATAAAAAGATACGATATTTTCATGGTTCGCCATAATTAACCCGTCTATATGCACGAATAAGAGAAATCCACTACAATTTAATATGGGGAATTGTTTAAATGCCAGTCCAATAATGTTATGGGATTAGATGATTAGTATCGACTTATGGTAGTATAAAATCAAAATAAATCCCATGCTTACTATTGGTATATGATAAAATTCTGATGGATTAAAATCACAAATATCTTTTTTTTTTTTTTTTTTAATGATCAGAGGTGTCTGAGCCAGCTTATCCACATCTCAACTAATCTCCCGAGTTGGAACTACCAAATGAGTAAGAGCTCCAATGGTTACCACTATTAGCACCTGAGAAGGGACTTGAAATCAAGACCTTTTGAGTAATATACTCAAGAGGCTTCTATCGAACCGCTCAACCATTCAAAGGTAGTTAACACAAATATCAATGCGCATAATTTAAATGGATATGTACCAAGTGCCGAGTGATGAAACAAGATGCAATCAAAATTTTCAAAATAATGCATCCAAAGGAATAGAAATATTCCTAACTCATCTAAACCCCTACCAGGAATACCATGAGTTATTACAAAAGAAATCAGCAAGAACTGCATTTTCTACTTTTCCAAATTATAAATAAATGAGCTAATAATTTTGTAGACATCTTGTTCTCAATTATCACTAGGAAAGTAACTTACAAGCTAAATACCCGAGGAAATTTAACTGGCTAGACCTTCCAAGTTTGCATTTAAGAAAATGACCCTGAAATTTTTTTGCATTTTTTTTAACCTTGAAAAATTGGCGTGGCACACTTAAGAATAACTAAACGTGCAAAAATGGGCTAGAGTGAAATGATTGAAACATACGGGTAATAGTAAATTAATGGAAATTTATTTAAATTTTGAAAATTAAAAAACGACCACCCTTCAAAATCGATTAATTAAAGGAGGCCACCCAAAAAAAGCGACCGACGAAAACATCCCATCTCTCTTGCGATTTTCGGCCATTA